TCCATCTTCTGACATGGATTCCAGCTGCTGACATGGCAGGGAAGTATGTCAAGCCATAGATGGTCACTTTCTCCCATGTTGTCATTACAGGCGCAGCACTTCTGACTGTGGGGGAGCGCATGTAGAGGGAAATATAAGGGCGAAGTGAAGCAGAGAGGAAAAGAAGGGCAAATGACGTCGAAGTAAGGAGAATAGGAGAGGATGGAGGAGAAAAGGGAGGGGGGGGTTTCTGGGAGAATGGGAGGGGATGGGAGAGAATGGGAGGGGATGGGAGAGAATGGGAGGGGATGGGAGAGAATGGGAGGGGATGGGGGAGATGATGAAACGGAGAGGAGGGGCAGGGCGAAGGGCAGGGGAGAGGTGCGCGGGGAGCAGCGGAGAGGGCGAGCGCGGGTGCTGTGGGTGGAGGGCATGTGAGTGACATGCACGCATCGCTTGATGCGATGTCATGTGCGTGCAACATGCATGTATATATGTGCAGTGCATGCATCACGATTGCCTGCACGAGCATGCGAGCATGCAGGAGTGGACCCTGACAGCATACCTCGTCATGTATGTCAAATGGAGCCAGCACTGCGCAGCATTGCACAGCATACTTCTCTCCCCCTACCCACCACTGCGCAGCATACTTCTCTCCCCCCACCACTGCGCAGCATACTTCACTCCGCTGCAATACCCTTTCCGATGGACATTTCCTCCCTCTCCCCTCCCTCCGCTGCACTTGTCTCCCCTGGACTTCACTCCATTGCGCAGCTTACATCCCCTCGCAGTTCTTTCCGCTGCACTTCACTCCGCTGCACTTCCCTCCGCTGCACTCCACTTCGCTGCTCTCTGCTGGACATCCCATCCCTCTCCCCTCGTCTCTCCCGCCCCTTGCTTCCGCTCCACATCCAACGCCCTTCTCCTGCTCCTTCCGTCCCCCCGCAACCCGTATCCCCCACCTCTCCCACCAGCCACGTCACATAAGCGCGGCCATATTAGCGCGCGACAGGAGGAAACGGCCTGTGAGAATTTCGTTCCTCCCCCCTTCGCCTCCATCCTCGCCTTCTGCTCTTCGTGTCGCCCATTCCGTCCATTACCCTCATTCCGCTTTGCCTGCTCGTCCAGAGGGAATCGGCGAAGCTGGTCTGAGAGTTCGCATTTCCCGCCAGCATCAAACGGCGGGTGAAAACCGCATTTCATACGTGAATCCCTAGAACAGTGATCACTTGTGCGATTAATTTCGATTATGATTCGTGATAAGGCCAAAAATCGCAATCGCCAGTGCAATCGTAATCGCTTGACCGCGCGCTCGTAATCATTGAGCGCGCACTCGTAATCGCTGGAACGCGCGCTCGTAATCGCTTGTGTGCGCTTGTAATTGTGCATCCGTAGTTTGTGCAAATCGTAATCAAGCAAAATTGGAGTTCTGGGGGATTTCGTCTTGGTCACCAAGAAAGGGTTTTCGTTCACCAAAACACGCTGCATCGCGACATTTACTTTTCGAACCGCTTTGTATCGCAGGATCTTCTTATTTGAACACCTCGAACACAGGAATTTATGTCCAGCTAGCACCCAAATGAACTAGCCAGCTCACATAGCTTATAAAGCGGACAGCACCCAAATTGAACATTGCCATACAGACTGAATTTCCGACCAGTGAACTTAGCGACGGAGCTCAGAAATCTTATAGAGCGGACAACACAGATTATCCCTCCCCCCTTGGTTCTTCGCCAACACACAGACGCAAATCCCAAGGCCTGCTCATTCAGATGCAGCAACCCAATCCCTCGGCTCTGCATTTCCTCAGCCGCCATGCTTTGCGACATCCCTGTAGGACCGTCGCGTAGAGTTTTTCGATTGCGTCGCAAATTCTTTAGCGAAACGTGTTTCCACTATATTTATCGTAACAAATTGCCCCAGAAACGGCTAGGGGAAAACCGAGGACGAAAATGAGCGGGAAAGTTGTTGGGGCGCCTCGAGGTCTCACGAATCCGAAACGCACCGAAACCAATAGGATGTTCCCGAACCTCCCACACCCGTTGTTTACGCCTGACGCGGCGCCATCAAGATCCCGAACCTGAACCCCAGCGAGAGACGCCTTGAAATCCACCCACACGCCTCGCTGCCAGGTTCCCAACCGTCAGATTTGTCTGGCATGGCATGCTCATGGGTAGACAGCGAGGCACGCCGAGGCTGGAGCTCCAATGTTCAGGCATGTGGGGGTGGAAGGAGGGGGGGTTGAGCAGCCGAGGGCGGAGTGCAGTAGAAATGGGGTCGCCAGGATTGGAACCTACCATTCCCAGTTCCTCTTCCGTTCTGTCGATCAGCAGTGAATAACCTTTTCAGAAATCAGCCTGTTTCAATCGATCAGTTTCTGTTCAGCGATCTGCAGTCAAGTAACATGGCCTCTCTTGCTGATATCTGCACTGTCAACTCGGTTTCTCAAACCTCGAGCAGTCCTGCAACGCCTACGAGAGGCATTGGCAGGTTCGGAACCCCGCGAACTGTTTTCTCGCCTGTAAGAAACTCTCCTGCCAAGCCTGCTCCTTGCAACGGCGACGGTGAGACGTACTGCAGCAGCGTGCTTCTAAAGAGCGTGAGTCCGCTTCTGGAGAATCTGGCGAAACACCTCCCTGACGGCCAGCACAAGCCCTCCAGGGTGCATGTACCCGACGCACCTGATGTGAAGCGGCCTGGGATCGGCCGCTTCGGAGGAAAGCCTGCTGCTGCCGTTCTTGCACCTGCGGTCGTCACTGCTGCTGCTGCTGCTGCAGTCACACCGTCTGCTGTGGCAGCGCCTGTGGCTCCAGTGGCTTCAACCACACCACAGGTGCCTGAAGCGAGTGTGACCACAGAAGCAACATCGGAGGAGGCGAGTGCAGGTGCTGCTGATCAGCGTGAGCAGAAAGCCAGATGGGACAAGCTGCGTCAGGATGTTCTTGCAATGGATGTTGAAATGACGAAGTTGAGAGCACGTGCTGCTTACCTGAGATGGGCCAAGCTGGACCAGGCAACGTGGGCCAGGGACATTGAAGCCGCCATTGAAGCCTGCCTTCCTGCTTGGATCGCGCCTGCTAAAACAGTTCCTCCTGTATCTGCAACTGCAACGACTGTAGCAGAGTCTGCCGCACCAGCTGCTCCCTCGCCTGCAGCTGCAACAACTGTGAAATTACCTGCTGCGACATCACCAGTGAGAGGAGCTTCAGCAGCAGCAAAGCAGTCAAGACCTGCCATTGCAGCAAGGTGCAAGGTGGGGGGTGAAACCGTGAAGGGCAAGAATGGGTGCAGTGGAAAGGCGGTGAGCAGTGGTGTGAAGGGTGGCAATATCAGCAGCAATGCTGCAGTCTCTGGCCCACGTGCAGCAGCAGCTTTTGTTGCGGGATCACGTGGTGGTGCATCATCAGTGAGAGCAGCTGGCAAGGCCAGCAGCAGGCAGGCGAGTGGGGTGAAGAGGAGAGAGAGGGTTGGGTGTGGGGAGGGAGCAGCAGGGAGGGCAGCAGGTGGAAGGCAGGGTGGTGTGAAGGCAGCAGGTGGCAGAGCAGTGGCAAGTGGCGCGTGTGGCAGGGAGGGGGTGAAGCAGCACGCGGGGAGGAGAGAGGGTTTGGTGCATGAGAGGCAGGCGAGGCCAGGCTGCAGCAGCAGCAGGGCGCACAGAAGGAGCTCCTGAGAGAGCCAGCATCGGAATGATTGCTGTCAAAATGAGAACATACATGGGTAACACTCAAGGATGTGCTGGAATAATTGTGACGATGGAACAACTCCCAGCTGCTGTTGCGAATATGTGATGCAGAGTGTGAAATCTGTACACTGTATATTACTAGAATACCGTATGTTTATACTTGTAGCTTTGCTCTATGAGTAAGGCTTGTAATTTCCAATTAGATTACAAAATCTATGTTTTGTCATCTCCATGAAAGCAATGCAGCTTGGTAGGAAGATTGCACCACAGCACTTAAACACAGAGGATCAATGCTTGTCATCTGAGTTTTTTTTTTGTGTGGAAGGAACCCTCAATACCGTATGCTTGCATCGAAGGGTCATCAAGCGCTGTTTCTTCAAAGGAATCATTCTGATGCAAGGGTTGATTTAGAACCTCAGCTGGGGCAGAACAGAATCCAGCAAAAATTGAAGCAGGGCATCCCAGAGGGACATGTTTTCTTCTAACAACTGGAACAATCCTAACTGCTTTTGGGGATACAGGTATTAGGCATGATGATACTTGGAACCTGCACCGCATGCCTGCATGGGGTTACATGTGTGCATGGGTACATGAGTGCACTGGTCGGTACATGTGTGCATAGGTACATGGGTGCATATCTGCATGGATGCATGCCTACAAATGCGCATGTACACATGTGCACATGGGTATGTGGATGCATGGGTATGTGGATGCATGGGTATGTGGGTGTATGGTTGTATGAGTGCATGGGTGCGTGGTTTCATGGATGCGTGGGTTCATGGGTGCGTGGTTTCATGGGTGCGTGGCTTCATGGGTGCATGGTTTCATGGGTGCGTGGTTACATTGGTGCGTGGGTACTATGTGGGTGCAGGGCTAACTGGGTGCATGGGTGCGTGAGTATGTGGGTACATGAGTATATGGGTGCATGATGCATCGGTGCATGCGTATGCGTTCAGGGTCATCTAGCATATGCAAGATACTGGGTGGAATGATGTGCCTCGGAGCCTTGGATCAAGGGCAGCAAGGAAAGAGAGCGTTTGTGGAGTGAAGAAATCCCAAATGGGGAAGTGAGGCAAGTGAGGGAGGAGTGAGAATCAGGAGTGGTGTTGGGATAAGGGAGAAAAAGCGAGAGGGAGAGTGAAAGGAAGTAAGGGAGGAGAAAAGCAGGTTGAATGCATGGCAAGGGAGAGTGCTCAATTTCTACAAGTGTCGTGATGGTAACCTACGGGGAGGAAACAGCATTGCATTGAGATGGGATGGGCTTGGATTGGACGGCGAGGGATGGGATGGGATGGGATGGGATGGGATGGGATGGGCTGCGTTGGGCCATACACGGGAATCATTGCAGGCATGGTTGTTGCATGGGCGGAGACGGGCCAAATGCCTCGATGGTGCGAGCAGCGAGGATGAGTGAGTCCATGAAGGCGTTGAAGGCCGCCCGCAGCAGACGAGCGTCGGGGCACGAGAAGGAGCTGCAAAAGGAGGGGGAGGAAGGATGGTGGGATAGGACTTTGAGGTGCCTAGGGAAATGGTGCAGGCAGCGAGGATGAGCGAGTCCATGAAGGCATGCCCGCAGGAGACGAGCATCAGGGCACGAGAAGGAGCTGCAGAGGGGGTCAGTGGTGCATGTTGGGATAGAAAGGGATGGCATGGGGGAGCGAGGATGAGTGAGTCCATGAAGGCGTTGAAAGCTGCGCGCAGAAGACGGGCGTCTGGGCACGAGAAAGAGCTGCCGAGGAGGGTGGGGGGGTGGGATGGTGGTTGGAATGAGAGGATGAGCGAGTCCATGAAGGCGTTAAAAGCCGCTCGCTGCAGACGAGCATCGGGACAAGGGAAGGAGCTGCAGAGAGGAGGGAAGGGGGGTTGGGTGGTGGGCATGTGAGGATGAGCGAGTCCATGAAGGCATTGAAGGCTGCTCGCAGGAGACGAGCATCGGCACACGAGAAGGAGCTGCAGAGGGAGGGAGGGAGGGCAGGGGTTTGTGGGGGAGGGAAGAGTGACTGTTGAGGTGAGGAGCCTCATAAAAGGAGAGATTGGTCGAAGGCGAGTCAATGAAAACTGTGGTGTGTGTGTGGCATATATGGCAAGCGTCTCAAAAATACCCTTTTTACGCGTACGGGGTGTATGCAACATCTGTGGAATAGTCGCACTAGCCTCTTCAAAACAACATTCCAAGTCCTTCGAGAACGATTACAAGCAGTCGAGGGAGAACGCCAGGCAGGCATCCCCCATGCATAGAGAAGACAGGCAGAAGCAGCACGGCACGAGGCAATACACAGAGTGAAGAGTGCAGCACACACGGAAACAGGCAGAGATGAGCAAAGGGGATGCACAAAAGAGCTGCACACGCACTACAGGACGATAAGAGCCCACACTTTACAACGGCAGTCCGTAATTGCAACTGGTTGTGGAAGATTGGGATGGGGCGTACACTGAGACGTGGGTATCATGGACTGTGATCACCCGCACGAGCTTGTCTGGTTGCAGCTGCCAGTGGTGATGGGGGACACGGAGAGATGGCAAGCAAATGAAGTGAGAGTGGTTGGTGATGGTTGGGGTTGGTCGGTGATGGCTATTGACGGTTGGTAGTGGAAAGAGTTGTGGTGAAAGGAAACAGCACAGCCAGAGGTGCTTTTGAGTCGACTCAAAAGCAGAGTTGTGGTGAAAGGAAACAGCACAACCAGAGGTGTGGACCTCCCGAATGACAGATGGCAAGGAAAAGCCTTACAGGAGCGTGAGAAAGCGTCAAATCAGGGGGTCATTGGCGTGAAAAGGCCCCACGCCATCTCCCTAAACTGGTTGGCATGGGAACACCGCACATCACCGTATACCCTCACCCCACCGCACATCACCGTATACCCTCACCCCACCGCACATCACCGTATACCCTCACCCCACCGCACATCACCGTATACCCTCACCCCACCGCACATCACCGTATACCCTCACCCCACCTCGGGGTCGACTGCAAGTGTGTTGCGCAGAATGAGCGCCTCCTCTGGCGACCCACCTTAGGTAGGTGTGGCGTGGGAAGGCGTCACCTGGCTGACCCCTTGAAGCCTCACCTCGGGGTCGACTGCGAGTGTGTTGCGCAGAATGAGCGCCTCCTCTGGCGACCCACACGTTACACGCAGCTCACTGCATGAAAGGGGGGAAGGGGAGAGAAGAAAGGGGTAGCTGGGGAAGGGAAGGGGGTCGAATGGACGGGCAGGGCGACGACGTAGGCAGAGGAGGAGAGGAGAGAGACGATGTGCACACATCGTCTCTCTCTCCTCACATCGTGCGTCTAGGGCTAGGGATGCCGCTGCACACAAGCGAGACGATGTGCGCTGCGCACACACTGACGCTGTCAGTAGCGCGTGTGGTGGCGCTGTCCCGGTTAGTTAGCCGGGGTGTGTGCGTGCACTGGCGAGGCGATAACGAGATTGCTGCAAGGCAAGGAAGAGCAGAGCATCGGGTATGCATCATGACCCCCAGCGGTCAGGGGCGTGGAGAGAGCTTTTGAGACGTCTCAAACTATGTTGGATTATACGCGTTTGGCGTACATACGCGTGTCGTATATACGCCACCGTATATACGCTAAACGCGGGAGGGGTCTGATCCAGGATACGCATTTCCGGGCAGCTAAAAAGTTTCTCGGGCAGGGAAGAAAACCCTTCTGGGAGTGCAGCAAGGGGGGTTTCTGGTGGGTTGTGTTTCTCCATAAAAAAACCTACCCATAAATTTTTTTTCCCCCATGTTAAAATTATCCCCCATACATAGAACAAGGTGCCTCACTACTTCCTAGTCTACTCTACCCCCCTACTCCCTCTACTGATACTCGTCCGCCAAGACGTCGTCCTCACCCTCCTCCTCCTCCATCTCTTCCGCGATCTTGTAGCCAACGGGGATTGGCGGCTCCACCTCATTCCCGCGCACAACTCGCGGCATAACATCATGGCGCGTGTGCCATCCACGCACAACGTTCCAGTTGTGCGTGACGTACACCAAATCCGCGCACTTAGCGGATCCGAGACGGTTCCGGCGCGCAGTGTGGACTGATTCCCACTTCGCCCATCCACGCTCACACGGAGATGCCGAGACGGGCTGCGAGAGAATCTTTATGGCGAGCGACGCCAGCTGCGGCGCATCCGTCCCATTCCACTGCCACCACTTAACCATGCTGTATGTGCCCGCCTTTACCTTCTCCCTCTGTGCAATGGCTTCAGGCATCCCGAAACTCCCTTTGAGGTCAAGGTAAGACCTCAGCTGGTCCCCCAATGCGAGTAAATAGTCGCACTCATCATCCCCCTCTTCCCCCCGATTGGTGAGGAACTCCGCATGCTTGGTGAGGAACGCCTTGAACACCCTTGTGCATTCCACATCCCCGCCGAAGATGTCCTCCTCTTGGTTGGCGGGGTTGAGGATGCGTCCCGCCACGTGCATGGCGCATGCAAGACTCCCGTCCCACCTGTCTTTCAGGATTTTGCGGATCGCCTGCTTGTCGGTGCTGGACAGGTGCTCCTCATCCGCCTCGACAATGGCCTCCACATCCTCGGTAAGTTGGAGCATAACGTCGTACAGTCGCCCCATCATCCCCTTAGCTTCCCCATCCGTCTGCCGCATTGCCATGAAGGGGAGCTTCATGAGCTTCATGAAGAACTCTGCGCTCTTCCACCAAGCCGCATCGAGTACCAGCGCGGCAAACCCATCTGCTGCTTTCTGTCGATCCGCATCCCCCGCCGCCCAAGCTTTCCACAGGTCGGAGAGAACCATCTGCGTAAGGGAGTTACGAAGGGCACAAAGACGGGACACCGATATATACTGGGTGCCGAAGCGAGTCCCCGCTGGCTTCAACGCCTGCATCACGCTCCCCTCCACCAGCTCCGGCGTCCGCAAGTACCCCCGCGTCCAGTGGTGGTTGCGGACGAACGAAGTCATTTCCCCAGTCCGCTCCACCACCCTTTTCGCCCACCCAAGCTTCCCCACATCCTCCATGAGGAGATCCAGGACGTGGGTCGCACAAGGGACAACCTGGATGTGGGGCCATTCTGCAATCAACTGACGGCAGGCACCCGCGTAGTTGGAGCCCCCGTCCATACAAAAGGCGACGATGTTCTCCGCACCCACCTCCTCCACGACGGGCCTCAGTAACCCCGCAATATAACCCCCCGTCTTCTTCTCCATGTTGCAGTCCACGCACATATGCAGCACGGCGGCCGCGTCGTTAACGAGGAAGACATTCGCCTGCGGCCTCCCGGCCCTGTCCGTCATCATGTCGGACGCGACGGTTACTCCAGTCTTCTTCCAGCTTGCTTTGATGCCCACCAACCCGCTTTCGATGCCACGGCGGCATGCTTGCAGACCTGTACCGCCGATGTACTTCCGCCCTGGAGGAACATAACCGTCGCCGGCGCGGGCGACGTCCCTCATCGCGTTGACGAAGAGAGGATGGTCTACGATGTGCTCCGCGATGTGACATCCCGCAAACATCAGCACCAGCGACTGATGTGCATCGCGTTTTTTCCCTGCTGCATCACCATCGAGATAGTCGGTTATGCGGGACCGCTTCCCGCTTGGGAGCACCGAGGCAATCGCCGCCTCAGTCGATCTACGCCTTTCCTCTGCATCAGCGGCCTTCTTCTCATACATGGACTTCATCTCGACGCGAACATCATGCGGTGCATTCTTGCAAAGTGACACCTCCCGGCGCTTCATGTTCTTCCATGACGTCAGGTGTTGCGCGCAACGGATGGCGGCACCAGAGAAGACAAGGGGGCAGTATTTGCACTCGAACTGCTGTGACTTGCCCTCTTCCCGCTTTATGAGCCTGAAGTTTTTAAACACAGGGTGTTTAACATCGGGAAGGTATTCCCGTGACGCAGTCGGAGGAACCCTCGCACTCTCCTCTGTCTGTACGGACGGCGATGTGGGTGGTGGAGAACAAGACATAGCGCGCTAACTAGCTAGCGGGAGTTGAAAACCGAATGAGATGGACATTTTGACGAGTGGCTAAATAGCATGCTGGGTGACGGGGATGAGGACACGAGTGGTTGGACTAGATAGATGAAGTGTGTTTGAATGGGGTGAAGCGGAGTGATTGAATTGTGGAGACGTGCTTGCGCGACTCCACATACTTGACCATGCAATTCTGAACGTGCAAATTGTGAAGGTCGTAATCGCGACTCCAGGACACGATTCCAATTTCCAGCCACGACAGCCACCTGACGTGCAATCTGAGATCACAGAATTGCTCGTCGTGCAATTCCGCAGCTTTTGAGCACTTCGAAAATTTTTGGGTAGGCGGGCTGCCCCGAAAACATTTTGGGCTGCGTATAGCGTTTTCGCTAGCGTTTAGCGTATAGCGTGTACACGCTAGCGTAGAAACGCTACACGCAAAAGGTCCAAAGCGTATAATCCAACATAGGTCTCAAAAGCGGTCAGGGGCGTGGAGAGAGCTTTTGAGACGTCTCAAAAGCGGTCAGGGGCGTGGAGAGAGCTTTTGAGACGTCTCAAAAGCGGTCAGGGGCGTGGAGAGAGCTTTTGAGACGTCTCAAAAGCGGTCAGGGGCGTGGAGAGAGCTTTTGAGACGTCTCAAAAGCGGTCAGGGGCGTGGAGAGAGCTTTTGAGACGTCTCAAAAGCGGTCAGGGGCGTGGAGAGAGCTTTTGAGACGTCTCAAAAGCGGTCAGGGGCGTGGAGAGAGCTTTTGAGACGTCTCAAAAGCGGTCAGGGGCGTGGAGAGAGCTTTTGAGACGTCTCAAAAGCGGTCAGGGGCGGGGAGAGAGCCAGTCCGCCTGTTGGTGCAGAACAGCGAAGGTGTGGGGTGAGGATGGTGGGGAACATGTGCAAGTGAGGATGGTGGGGAACATGTGCAAGTGAGGATGGTGGGGAACATGTGCAAGTGAGGATGGTGGGGAACATGTGCAAGTGAGGATGGTGGGGAGCATGTGCAAGTGAGGATGGTGGGGAACATGTGCGAGTGAGGATGGTGGGGAACATGTGCAAGTGAGGATGGTGGGGAACATGTGCAAGTGAGGATGGTGGGGAACATGTGCAAGTGAGGATGGTGGGGAACATGTGCAAGTGAGGATGGTGGGGAACATGTGCAAGTGAGGATGGTGGGGAACATGTGCAAGTGAGGATGGTGGGGAACATGTGCAAGTGAGGATGGTGGGGAACATGTGCAAGTGAGGATGGTGGGGAACATGTGCAAGTGAGGATGGTGGGGAACATGTGCAAGTGAGGATGGTGGGGAACATGTGCAAGTGAGGATGGTGGGGAACATGTGCAAGTGAGGATGGTGGGGAACATGTGCAAGTGAGGATGGTGGGGAACATGTGCAAGTGAGGATGGTGGGGAACATGTGCAAGTGAGGATGGTGGGGAACATGTGCAAGTGAGGATGGTGGGGAACATGTGCAAGTGAGGATGGTGGGGAACATGTGCAAGTGAGGATGGTGGGGAACATGTGCAAGTGAGGATGGTGGGGAACATGTGCAAGTGAGGATGGTGGGGAACATGTGCAAGTGAGGATGGTGGGGAACATGTGCAAGTGAGGATGGTGGGGAACATGTGCAAGTGAGGATGGTGGGGAACATGTGCAAGTGAGGATGGTGGGGAACATGTGCAAGTGAGGATGGTGGGGAACATGTGCAAGTGAGGATGGTGGGGAACATGTGCAAGTGAGGATGGTGGGGAACATGTGCAAGTGAGGATGGTGGGGAACATGTGCAAGTGAGGATGGTGGGGAACATGTGCAAGTGAGGATGGTGGGGAACATGTGCAAGTGAGGATGGTGGGGAACATGTGCAAGTGAGGATGGTGGGGAACATGTGCAAGTGAGGATGGTGGGGAACATGTGCAAGTGAGGATGGTGGGGAACATGTGCAAGTGAGGATGGTGGGGAACATGTGCAAGTGAGGATGGTGGGGAACATGTGCAAGTGAGGATGGTGGGGAACATGTGCAAGTGAGGATGGTGGGGAACATGTGCAAGTGAGGATGGTGGGGAACATGTGCAAGTGAGGATGGTGGGGAACATGTGCAAGTGAGGATGGTGGGGAACATGTGCAAGTGAGGATGGTGGGGAACATGTGCAAGTGAGGATGGTGGGGAACATGTGCAAGTGAGGATGGTGGGGAACATGTGCAAGTGAGGATGGTGGGGAACATGTGCAAGTGAGGATGGTGGGGAACATGTGCAAGTGAGGATGGTGGGGAACATGTGCAAGTGAGGATGGTGGGGAACATGTGCAAGTGAGGATGGTGGGGAACATGTGCAAGTGAGGATGGTGGGGAACATGTGCAAGTGAGGATGGTGGGGAACATGTGCAAGTGAGGATGGTGGGGAACATGTGCAAGTGAGGATGGTGGGGAACATGTGCAAGTGAGGATGGTGGGGAACATGTGCAAGTGAAGGATGGTGGGGAACATGTGCAAGTGAGGATGGTGGGGAACATGTGCAAGTGAGGATGGTGGGGAACATGTGCAAGTGAGGATGGTGGGGAACATGTGCAAGTGAGGATGGTGGGGAACATGTGCAAGTGAGGATGGTGGGGAACATGTGCAAGTGAGGATGGTGGGGAACATGTGCAAGTAAGGATGGTGGGGAACATGTGCAAGTGAGGATGGTGGGGAACATGTGCAAGTGAGGATGGTGGGGAACATGTGCAAGTGAGGATGGTGGGGAACATGTGCAAGTGAGGATGGTGGGGAACATGTGCAAGTGAGGATGGTGGGGAACATGTGCAAGTGAGGATGGTGGGGAACATGTGCAAGTGAGGATGGTGGGGAACATGTGCAAGTGAGGATGGTGGGGAACATGTGCAAGTGAGGATGGTGGGGAACATGTGCAAGAGAGGATGGTCTAAGACGGCTATGGAAGAGGCTGGGGTAAACGCCAGTCCCCGGCACAAAGGGGTTCGGTCGGTACCATGTGTGGATGGCGGGAGGGATGCTGGAAGGCGGCTGAGCGGCAGTGGTGGGGGTGGTGGGGGTGGTGGTAGTCGAGGTGGTGGCGGTGGTGGAGGTCACAGCAGCCATGGCCCCCACGCCTGCCCTGTACACGGTGCACGGAGGGAAGGCGGGCAATGAGTGGGCGGGGCAAGGGGAAGGCACAAGTGTGAAGGCGGTGGCGACAGCAGCAATGGCCCCCACGCCTGCCCTGTAAACGGTGCACGGAGGGAAGGGGGGCAAGCAGGGAAGGGGCAAGACGGGGAATGGTCGAAGCGGGGAAGGGGCAAGGAGGGGGTGAGTGGGGCGAGGGGCAGGTGTGTGGGGAAGCGTGGGGGGCGAAAGGGGGGTGGAGGGGATGAGGGAAGACGGGCAGGCGAGCGAGAAGTGAGGGAGCGTGGCGCAGGCGAGTGCCGTTGGCTGAGATGAGAGTGCCGCAGGTCCGCGTGCGTACGGGGAGGGTTGGGGGGAAGAGCGGCGCAAAAAGAGAATGGAGAAAGGGGAGAGAGGGATGGGAGGCGGGGTGGCGGCGACGCAGGGGAGAGGAGGAGAGAGGGCGAAGTCGCGGAGCCGCTGCGCAGATGGAGGGTGGAAAGCGGGGGGCGGCGCGCGCGCGACGGGCGGAGCAGCGGAGAGAGAGTGGGCGCGGGGCGCCGAACAATTTGCGGGCGCGGAGTGTGGACACTACACTGACCCCGCGGCGGCTCACCTTGTGCAAGTGGCGCGTGGAAGCGGAGTCGACACCTGAGCGGCGATTGGGCTACGCAAAGCCGTAACTAGTTTTCTAGCGGCAGAGTTTGCTGACCACTGCCGATCCGTGCGTCAGTTAGGACGCGGTAAAAGTGGAGATTCGATCGCCTCAGGATCGTTTTTTTAGCGCGGTTGTAAACGGTTGTGTACCTTTCGTATGCAAAACGCGGGGTTTCAGTACGGTTACCGGATCGATCTCCCCCCGATCGAGTACTTTTACCGCGGCCTTATGAAAACGAGGCGACGTGCTACTCTCGTTTGAATTTGCTTCGCTTACATTCTTAATGCACTTCAACACTATCAGATGATTATGTATAAACATTGCTATATTTATTGACAGTACAATCAATGCTTATGAGAAGGTGCCTTCATAGCATGGAAGGGGATTTAGCATGGACGACAGACAGAGTTGTCCGATGCTTATAAAATTATTGAACCTACTGAATTTCAGCACGGCATGAAGGCATCAAAGCTTCCTGAGATCAACTCCCACACTAATGCGATGTGCACCACAACACGTCACGTCACAAGCTGTTGGCAAGGCGCATTGCCAGCTGGCAGTGGCTCTTGGCCTCCTCGAGGCGCTTCAGCAGCGTCTCCTCCTTGACAGCAGCGCCCACCATCTGCATGTCCACCCCCAGCAGCTGCACCACCCGCGTCAACTCGAACAGCACCTGCTGCCGGTTCACCGCCCCCCCCTTCCCGCCTTCACCACCCCCGCCTGCTGCTGCTCCCTCCGCTGCTACACCCTCCATCCCACTCCGCGGAACAGCCGCCGCTCCAGTGCGCACAGGAGCAGCAGCAGCAGCAGAGCCCCCCTCGCCCTCTTGCCTGAGCGCCTGCACTTCCTTTTCCACGCGCGCCAGGACCACGCGCCCTGCCGCCGCGATGCTCTGCCCCGACCCGAACGGGCGGTCCAGCAGCCCGCCGAACACAAACAGCACGTCCAGAATCTCCTCGACGCGCGTTGGCGCCGGCGCCTGCCACTCCGCCCTGCGCCGCCTCGCCTCCTCCAACACGGGGTCCGCCTCCCCGCCCTCGCCCCTCGCCTCCGCCTCCTGCTCCTGGCCTGGCTGCGTCCTCAACGACCCGTTCTCCCCCTCCGATGCTGCTGCCGCCCTCACACCTCTTCGCACTGCTGCTCCTGCCGCCCTCGCCACTCTAAGCGATGCTGCTGCTGCCGCTGCCGCGTGCAGCCCCATAAAGGCCCTTGCAGGGTGGGCGAGTGCAGGTGGGGATGCCGCTGGCCCGCCGCGCAGCGAGGCGACTGGCTGGCGTGGTGCAATAGTGGGCATGAGAGCGGCGCACGGCAGAAGCGCCGTGTGTGCCATGAGGGCAGGGGAGAAATGGACAGCTGCAGCGGCGCGTGGAGCAGTGGCGAGGGGCAAGGGAGGGTGAATTAGGGTTACTGGCCAAGAAGGACAGGGAACGAGGGGTACGGGGGAAAACAGAGGGCGAGTTTTCGAGGGTCTCAAGTTTGTGAGGTTCTCAAGTTCCGAGGCACAAGTGATGAACCTTGGGCTCGGCAGAGGCTTACAAATGCCCTTGGCAGCTTCCGAATTCGAATGAGAACAGGCATACAATTGAAATTGATTGCGAGAGGTTGTGGATTCAAAACCCGCGCTCACCCTCTCGCACACGGTTGCACTCACTCTCGCAACCACTCACCAATCTTGGACACTCGCAGAAAATCCACATACACCCTCGCACTCACCCTCGGGCTCGCGCTCACGCTCCCTCGAGCACCCACACACGCACACGCACTCACACTCGCACTCGCCCTCGCACTCACACTCGCACTCGCCCTCGCACTCACACTCGCACTCGCCCTCGCACTCACACTCGCGCTCACTCTCCCACTTGCTCTCGCACACGTGGTCGCACGCACCTTCGCACTCACCCCAGCACCCATGCCCGTGATCACCCTTGTTCTCACCCTTGCAATCGCACTCTCACTCGCTCTTCACACACAGCTCTTCTTCAGCACTCACAGAAACACACACACAAACACGTGCACTCATCCTCATACTCAACCTGGCACGAGCACTCCCCATTGCACTCACACCCGCGCCCTTTCACTCAACCTCGCACTCACACACATACTCAAACTCGCCCTCGCCCTCACACTCACTCTCACACACTTGCTTTCGCACTCACTTGCGCACTCACGCTCGCACTTACTCTCTCATTCACCTTCGCACTTGCCCTTGCGCTCAAAACCGCACTCACCCTAAAGTGCATGCGCAGATCTCAGTCCCACTCACGCCCGCACTCGCACCAAGATTCACGTCCGCACTCACAATCTCGCACACTCTCGCACTCAACTCTTGCAACCACACGCACACTCATGCTCTAATCGCAAGCGCCTACGGTGCCAGCGCCCTAAGCGCAAGCGGCTTAGACGCAAGCGCCCACGGCGCGCACGGCGCTCTCTATCTCTCCTCTCCCTCCAACGCTCCCTCCCACACGTTCTTGGTGCTCCCTCCCCCGCTCCTTCCAGCTCTTCCTTCGCTCTTAAATACGGCCTCTCACGAGTACTCTCCTGCGAGATCGCTATCGTGCGCACGCTCTCCCTCGCGCTCCCTCTCTCCCCCTCTTCAGATGGTAGTGCAAAGCAAGAGGAGACCAATCGACGCACATAACCTACGAACGATGTGAGAAAGTTTGGAAATTTCAGAGAGGGGAGGGACTAGAAAAGCACCAGGAAGGATCAACGCACCTGAGAATCACGGTGCCTCAGAGATCAACCCGCGCTCGTGCAGCGGTCGTCAGCAGCGACCTCTACAAAAATTCACGACAGAATGCACTGGAGTTTTGGATGTACTTGCGCCCTTTCCCACCCTTCCCCTATGTACCTGTGCTTTCGTGTGACTGAGACAAAGGCGGTGTTCGCCAGCACTTTTGAGAACGAAAACGACGGGATCAGAAAGGTCAGTCACGCCTTCCTAATCCCGTCAGTTAGGGTTCGTTAAGCTCCGTCAGCCTGGTCAGCCCGTAAAATTCGTGCCGAAGCTAGGATGTCGTCCGAGCCTAAAGCAATCTGCGGTGCCTGGCGAACGCTCTCATTTTTCTCAATTTTCGGAAGGAAACATGGCATTCGGAAATGGGGACGCGACTTCCTCCCCAGGCAAACGTCCCGTCTCATGCCATCCCGTGGCAATCCACCATTTCACGTGGACCGCCGTGGATTGGCGATGTAATTGGCTGTCGGAGGAAGGTGGGGTGTGGGGTTCCATATGCGGTTTTGAAGTTTCTCATGTCGGGGCTGGAAAGTTCGCAGGTGGCATTTCGCCCAAACCTTTTCGGAGGGTTCCGACCCCGCTTCCTGATGCCGTTGCCAGTCCAATGCCTTCCATTTTCTTCCAATCTCAAGGGTGCTGGCGAACACCGCCAAAGCGATCAACCGATTATGGAATAAGCACTGTTGTAAGGAAAATTCCTTTTCCTTACTTCGCATCCCTACTCATTGAGAAGAAATGAATGAGAATGAAATGACTATGAACGAAGTGGGTACAAATAGGAAACCCTAATTGGGTTGTACCCCCTATGGGATACCCCACTATAGCCTACACAAATAAGTAAGCTATAATGTTCTGACACACCCCCATAGGCAAAGTGGGGGAGAACAAGGGGTCACAAGACCAGTCAAGCAAAGCAAAGCAAAGCTCAGGGTGGATCACAAAGTCACCACGCATTCCGAGCACAAGTTCAAAGGCCAGAAGGCCAGTTCACATGCAAGATCATATATAGAGATATACAAGAGTCAAGCAAGCAAGAGCAAGAGTATATATAGGCGAAGGTACAAGCAAGGTCAAGAGGAGAGCAAGTGAGGCAAGACAGGCACAAGACCCAACTGCGTGCAACAACGCTGATGATCACAAGGCGCAAGTGCCTTGGTGAAGACATCAGCAGTGTTGGCCTCAGAGGCCACGTACGCAAGTCGCAACTGTCCACGCTGGTGTAGCTCACGAGCAAGAAAGTAGCGGAGAGCAATGTGCTTCGTTCTGTGCTCCAGTCGCTGCTCTCGACACAAGGCCAACATGGCCTTGTTGTCTACGTACAGGACTGGAGGAGAACGAGGCTGCTCTCCAAGGTCGGTCAGCAGGTAGGTGAGCCAGCGTAACTCCTGTGCAGCCATAGCCCCAGCGTAGATCTCAGCCTCACAACTGGAGCCGAGAACAGAAGACGAGCGGGTAGTCCGCCACGAAACAGAGCCGGAACCAAGGCTGAAGGTGTAACCCTGTGACGACCGCTGCATAGCCTGGTCGTCAGCCCAAGAAGCGTCTGCGTGCCCAGTGAGGACCACTGGACTGCGCCCTCCAAGCACTAGCCCCATGCCCGACGTACTGCACAAGTAGCGCAACACCCTCTTCGCTGCAGCCATGTGCTCTGGTCGGTGTCTCCCAGGAGCAACATAGCGTGCGAGAATGCTAAGAGGGTATGCAAGGTCAGGTCGTGTGCAGGTCATCAGGTACATGAGGCAGCCAACAAGCTCTGCAAACGGGCCACTCGACTCTACGGACTCATCCGAAGGCAGAGCTGAGAGCGAGTGGCGAGTAGGCAGAGGAGTGGCCTGAGGCGAGGAGTACGTGAAGCCGAAGCGCTGAAGGACCTGCTGCACCATGTGTAAGCTATAATGTTCTGACACTCATCGCGTACATCACTGTAGCACCTCAGTCAGCACCGTTACCACTCGCGACCATCGCATCAACACTCATCCCGCCATTTTCGCACATCGCATCCCGACCTCACGGCTCGGCTGGTAACCCGCGCTCCGGGCCTACGCTTCGACATTTTCCCAACCTCCGTCCCAGGCTCGTCGCGCGACAACCACAGTCCATTACTGTTACCACTGTAGTTTCGCTATATATTCTTCGCTCATTACTTCGCTCATTGTACTCTTGCTTCGATAGTGCAATTCTCGTTCGTTCACTCAATTGCACTCGTAACACTTGGTATTCAGAGCCTACGATCCCATCTCGGACCGCATCCACACCTTCGCTTCCCCGCTATCTCAATTTTTGGGGGGGGTAGACGTCTCTCAGCGAGACAGCACCGCCGCTCGTAGTGCTCTCTCGTAAGCACGCACGGTCACGACAGAGGCTCTCGCTGAGCTTGCCCGACACCCCCGCCATGGCCGATTTCACGATCGCCACGTTGACGCAGGAACAACTTGATCGTCTTGTGCGTCAGCTGGAAGAATCGGCGCTCGAAATCGCGACTCTCACGGCGGAACGTGACTCCGCCCGTCAACAGTCAACGGTGAACGTACCGACGATATCACACGCACCAACCAATGCATCTGCACATTCGGAGGAGCCAATTGTCATCTCGTCCGGCACACCAACACAACACGAGAGCTCGGGACAACGCTCAGGCGCAGCCAGTGAAGGCGCCGCCCAGCCGATGCCCGGCATGGGAGGGAACAGGAGCGCACCAAGCCCACGGGAGCCCCGAGAAGCCCGTCGGCACGTAGAATTTGCGGCGACAAGTGGCGAAAACGCCATAATGGCCCCAATGCCACTCAAACCGCAACGCCCGCCCTGCTTCGACCCAAGCCAACGCGGCGGTCCGACAGTTCAATCGTGGGTCTTCACGATGAATGTGTTTTTCGACGCCAATTACGTCGAGTCGGACGCCGCCAAGATCCGGTATGCGGTTTCATTACTCAGGGGCCCCGCCATGGACTGGTGGCGAGTCATCGTGACGTCGCCACGCGCCTACGAGCCACCGACGCACGAGGAAGGGCCCTCGGGTCCAGCTGTTACCTGGAGTTCGTTCTGCGAAACCGCCCAATACAGCACGTGGGATGCGTGGTGCGCAGGGCTTCGGGCGCGTTTTGAGCCGATCGCGGCTTTGATTTCGGCGCGTCAGAAACTGCGCACTTGGCGCCAGCTTGGGTCAGTTCAAGACTATACCAGCGGCTTTCTCGCACTTTGCGAACAGGTCGGCTATATGCACGAGGCGGAGCGGGTGGACCGTTACGTCGGAGGGCTGAAGCCGGACATCTCGCACGAGATAATGCTACGCGGGCTCTCGAACTTCAACGAGATTCTCGCGCTCGCCGAGAAAATCGACATCCTACGCCGACCGAGACCGGGGTCCTATTACGGACATCGTCCTCGGGGACCGACCGAGCACGCCACTGTATACGCCGTCGCAACGAATGCAGCTGCCGCACCGTTTAAGGGGCGCTGCTTTGCTTGCAACAGGCTGGGCCATCGCAAGAGCGAATGCCCAGAGGAGCTGAGACGCCGAGGAGCAGAGCAGGGGAGGGAGTCTCAGAGGCAGGGAAACGCCAGCAGTCAGTAGAAGTTGGGCCAACTACTGACGAGACTGCCTGCTCGCCCAACCACACCGACCCTCACCGAGTCACAGTACCGATTCACGCCATCGATCGGGCTCGGATGAATAAGGAGGGTACAGCGACGGATTGCCCGGTACTGATCTACGGGAAAATACAGGGAGCAGCAGTGAAGATTTTTATTGACGGAGGAGCAAGTCACAGCTTAGTTAATACCGCAACCGCACGGAAGTTACAGCTAACACTGAACCGATGCTTACCTGAGATAGACGCACGCTTAGTCGACGGAACACCACTGGCCATACGGGAAAAGGTGGAGCGCGTAAAAGTCCGCTGCGGAGGGAACTTCGGGTTTACACAGGAAATGCTCGCAACGACACTGGATGGGCACGACATTTTATTGGGACGTGATTGGCTGCGACGGTATAACCCACGAATTGACTGGACGACGGGTAGCTGCACAGTGCGAAGTGGTGGTAACTGGGTCGTCCTACCTCGCTGGCAGCCACCCGAGTCTTCGACGGTCCAGGTCAACGCCATCACGATGAAACGGGCTGGCGCTGCTGGAGCTGACGTGTACGCAGTGGATATCGCATTAGTTGAAAAAGAGGAGCAGCCGAGTGATTTTCAGAAACTGCTGGCAGCCGTACCGACCGACCTACAGGCACTACTGAAACGGTTCCCGGGGATATTTCCGGATGATTTACCACAGGGACTGCCACCTCAGCGGGCGCACGACCATAGGATCGAGTTAGAACCGGGGGCACAGCCAACTGTACAGCGACAATTTCGACTAACACAGCCCGAGCTCGACGAGTTAAGGAAGCAGTTAGATTACCTGTTAGAGAAGCAGTTTATCCGACCAAGCTCGTCACCATTCGCCGCACCGATACTGTTCACACCGAAAAAAGACGGAGGGTTCCGCATGTGCATCGACTACCGAGCGCTTCATAGGGTAACCGTCAAATCGCGATACCCCATCCCCCGCGCCGACGAACTGATCGACCAATTGCGAACAGCACGAGTCTTTTCGAAAATCGATTTACGGGGAGGTTACCATCAGATTCGGATCGAACCATCGGACTGCGCCAAGACAGCATTTAGGACTAGATACGGGTCATTCGAGTATACAGTGATGCCTTTCGGGCTGACCAACGCGCCTGCAACATTTCAGATGACTATGAACGAGGCGTTTAGGCCGCTTTTAGATAAATGCGTGATAGTTTACCTCGACGATATCCTCGTTTACAGTAGGGATAAGCAGCAGCACTTAGTAGATCTTGAAGCAGTCTTTAAGGTTTTAGCGGAACATCGGTTATGTCAAAAGTTAGAAGAAGAAAGAGGGTTGAACTAGCAGAAATGGGGATACAAATAGCAAACCCTAGAAGGGTTGTACTCGCTATAGAGCACCCCACTACAGGCTAGAACATAAGAATAACATTCTGACACACCCCCATAGCCAAAGTGGGGTGTAATCAGCAGAGCAAGCAAAGCAGTACAAGCTCAGGGTGGATCACAATGTCACCACACATTCTGAGCACAAGTTCAAGAAGTAAGTTCAAGTGCACAATTATGAGCAAAGCTAGTGGTGGTCACAACGGGCAAGTGAGGAGGAGGAGTGAGAGCGAGAGGAGTTGGGAGGCGACGGCTGAAGCTGCAGACACTCGGGCAACAGGAGGCACACTGGCACAGCGGCTACCGGGCGAAGCCCCCGGAATACTGGAGTAACTGGCCCCGCGGCTAAAGTAGCGGCAGACGAGCAACGGACCCACGGGCGGCTGGCACAGCTGGCTACGACTGGGCTACCGGGCGAAGCCCCCGGAATACAGGTGCTGCTGACGACACGACGGCAACCTCCATGCAGCTTCCCTAACTATCCAACTCCCCCAACACACACCCGCTGATACGCTCCTAGCTCCACTCCCACGCACCCCCCTTAAACCCTAAACCCGAGTCTCCCACACAACCACCCCCCTCAGCGACAGCTGCAGCAGTGGGAGACGAAGGAGGAGGAGAAGGGGACGGCACGCACAAACGACACCCCCACAACCA